TTTAGCGTACACATTGGGTTACAACCAGATAATCATACGTTACAGAATCCGCCATTAACCGCACCGTCTTTTTGTTGTAACTTTTGCGGTCAGCAACAAAAGACAAGAGAACGAAGTGACGATGAGTGTAAGAACGTGCGCTAATGAATGCACGATGCGAACGCAACACCTACCTAAGTGTCCGGCAGATTATACTCATTCGACCGTCCCTGAACGCTTTCTATGCAACATATAACAAAAATAAGTTCCTACGCTCTATTGGTATTATTGATGCCGCTGTTGTTAACTGTGAATAGGCTCACTATAGGCCGAAGCACGAGTGGACTAGTGAAAGAAACTCGCTGTTTAGCTGTTGTGTGTATCAAGTTAAGAGCTGTTTAACAGCGACAGGGGCTTCAATAGCAGTTTGGCCTTTTACCGGGACATAAGCAGAGGTCCGCTGCATTACATAGTAGGCCTTCGACTCCATTTTGCAGTAGGCGTACTAGTAGCACCAGCATCAGCAGAAATACCACCGGGACGATCGCAGCGGTAGCCCGCCGCCTGCAGTTAACTGTGCCCTTATCCTATTGGCCACTTAGTGTAATTAAGCATAATATCAGCACTGCTTCACCCCCGACGGCTATCTGCTGCTGTAGGTGAGCAGACTGCGTCTACCCCATCATCACCACAACGGATAGTTAACCATTCGGCGACTGACTGGACGTTTAAGATAGGTTAGGCGCTAGGTTGTCGGGATCAGATCTACTATTGGGACAAAAGACAGTTTTTAAGCGGGTCGCAGAAAGAAAGGAAAGCTGTTCAGGCTATCGTTGCAACGAAATAATGGAGGGTTGGCTTCGCTCGACTCCGTTCAGGAGTCCGACCGGGGGTTGTGAGAGTTGCGGAATTGCCGAAGAAATAAGTGGGGCATGTAGTGGGCGGCTGTGCTACATTGACCGACTCCAATATCGTCGATCGTCATACATCTAACTGAAAGACAGAGACTGAAGGATAGGCACTCGGAGCAGCCCAGCACAGCGCATAACGGAGTCGTCACGACTTCGCTATTACGTAGTAGCATCTAACCGGCGTCCTCGTCGTCATTGCTGCTGCTGCTGCTGCTACTTTTGTTGAACAAAATAGAAGAAAAAGACGAGATGGTCGATAGTGACGTCAGCCTAAACAGACTGTCATTGTTTAGAGGTGGACAGCATATAATAGCTATAGTACTCGATTCTATACTAGCAGTTTCAGTAGCAATGTACGGATGAGCTCGGCTAAAAGGAGAACCGTGTATCTCGCGAATTGTTGCCCCTTGCCGCCCGATAAACGAGCATTCTTAGCACAGATAGCAGCTCGAAGAGGAAGAGAGCAGTGAGCCGCGGAGGGGGAATGGGAGTGGTGAGGTATCTGCTAAAAGTGGAACAAGGTGGAATACCTTGTATACCACGAACAACGATATACAGGCTATGCTTTATCCGGCCTTCTCGGACTGCCCGGGCGTTAATTATGGACAAGGAAAAAAGCGACAACGTAAACACAGGGACTTTGCAGAAGCGCCAGCTCATTCTAGGAACAAGCGAGTATTTATAATCGATGCGAAATCTTTACTGTTTCCGTTGTTGTTTTGTAATGAAGTAAAAAAAAAAAATAATTATTATTATTTAATTCAGTTTTGCTCTAAATCCGTATTTTTTGACCGACTGGACAATCGGAACTAAAAAGATTTATTTTCCATTTGGCCTTTCCCTTCCCATATGGCCTTTTTATCAGTCATTAACCCAGACGCAATGCTTACTTTTCTCCTCGGGTTTTTCCTTCTCAATAGATTTCCTTACTTCATTTCCTACGGCAGACTGCATTCATATGCATATGAGTACACGAGGAACATTTTTGCCACTCCCTCGCTCCTCGTCCTCGCGCAACTGTTAAATAACGGGCGTCTGCCTAGGACGACCGAACCCGTCTCTGTCTCGTGGAAGGCGCACCGCCTGTGTATGATACAAACCCTCCTTGTGCAAAGATCCGTCGATCTACACTTATGAGATAGAATGGGGAAAAACGGAACTAGGGTAACTGGTATTTCAGTAGCGAGATTTATGTCCATTAGACGGGAGCATGCTGCCAATGCGAATATCCGTCGATGTTTACCTATAGAGGCGCTTGTGTTGTGTGTGTGCGCCTATGCGGGCTGTTCTCAACAAATGTCTCATTGTCCGCAGCCGCAAGAAAACAGGATTCAAGATGGCGACAAATAGTGATCATCAGGAAACCGCTGGTCCTTTAACAAAAATCAATTGGTGATTATATGCAACTGCTTTGGACAGTTGTGGTTACGGCCGCCAAAAAGCTAAACTAAAAAACGCTATTTAAATAGTATTGCAGGCCATAGCATCCTTATGTATTTTATATAATGGGCGAGATACATCTAAAAAATGAACGGGTCGAACGTTATGGTTGCTTACCACTTAAACGACATAATGAAATTGAAAGATATGTCTCATCGACTATTTAGCAGTGTTGTTGAGTGCCTATAAATAATACAGGGTATAAGTGAAATATACAAATGGTTCAGTCTTTCTACCCGAGTGTGGTGTCATGACGTTAATTTTATTATATTATATACTAAATAGTAAGATAATTGTAAAACAGCACTGGGGCACGGCACCCTGTACGGTTTCGCTATTTAGCATTCAGTATGCTTGACTGTACAATGAGTTTTCGTACTAACGTGTTATGTGGATGTTCTAGTGTATAGGCGAAACGACGCGAATCATCCCTTGAAAAACAAACGTTACAGAGTTCTCAACCGTGATTATTTCAACATTATAGGTGCGGTACCTTTGCGCTTTATGCAGAATTAGGCATTTTATTCAGCCTCTACAAGATTAATAACTCATTTTCACTTTTATCCAATAACGCAGGCAAGGCAGCGATAGGCCACCGACGCGGGCAACATTGCCACAAGAATTATTGCAGTAGTTGTGATGGTCGGTCGGTCGTCCCCTGCCCGACTCACCCGCTCTAATAACGTCTTTTTCCATATCCCCATCGATCCCCAAATTTCTTATTTTTGTGCTGGTTCCTTTCTTTTTTCTTTGTTGGCAGCAACCCCAGTACCGGCAGCGGCGGCAGCAGCGGAAGCTGGGGGTTAATTCGATCGCAAGAATTGCCGCCAATAATTCAACCTGCCTTCGTGGCTGCTTCAGCGCGATGGGGATACTTCTCGTCCTCGCTTACGTTTACTCAGTATAGGGTCTAGATGATTATACGCAGTACGCGCTCTTACCAATTGGCCAATAACTCTCCCGCGCTTCTGTTAGAGACCTTTTTCTCGTCCCGATCGCCAGTTCGTAGAGAAACAACTGCGGCAGCATTGCAGTATCACTTGTAAGCTCACACACTACTACCAGTGTCATCATCAGCGTTGTCGTCTCGCACTGATATTATCCCCCTCTATTTCTCTCTCTTCCAGTAGCGCACAGCATAACACGGGCATATTTGTATCACTCCGTGATAATCAAAGCACGACTTGGACCGGTAAAGGACGACTCATTGAGAGGGGAAACCGTGTGTTTTTTTCTATCTACATACATATGTTTTCATTTCGGTAGAAAGAAAAGAGGGAAGCACGCTACTTATGATCAAGTCCGCTGGTTGAAAAAATTCCCATGCTTTTCAAAGCGTTGTGTTCTGCGTCTTCTCCCTGTTGACTAGAAAACCTAGGCCATTCATGAGTGGGACCGCATACATGCCAAATGACCTGCACGCAGATACTCGCGACCTGTTGTAAAGTCTGCGCAAATATGTACAAGTGAATCTGCGTGTATATCAAAATACGCTGATGTGAAAGGCGTAGTAGCGCTGATGCTGGTATCAGGGGGTCTGAGGCGCACGGCTGTTTGACATGTCGCTATAATTCGATTAGACGGATATAGTACCAGGTAGAGCGAACGAAAGTTAAGCATAATTCGTCTGCTATAACAGCAATCAATGATGACTCGCCAGTGTTGTTATTGTTGTTGTTGTATCAGAAAGCTGCAGCCTCGCCAACCTGACAAGCTTTGCCTGTCGGCTCGTTATTACAAGTTTATTATGATTTTTCTACATATTAAGACAACCCACCGCACGAAAACGTAAGGCGTGCCTCCTCATACTTTACAGTTGCTACTGGGTCGATGACGGCGACTGCAGCGGCAGTGGTAGGGGAGGTTCATAAATTTGAGAAGAACTGAAATTTAATTAGGACCAATCTCAAATACAGAGAAACGGGGGACAGAGAAGTAGAAAAGAACTACAAAGTGTTTTATTATTGGGAAAGAAGGAGGTTGAGGAAGCGGTTCGTGGAAGAAATGCGAATTGTATAATACGACGCATTTGCTCCACGGATGCATTTGGGCCACAGCGTGTTTCAAGTGATCTCGCTGTTTAAAAGCCTCTAATAACGTAGTAGTCTGGCCCTCCGTTCCATCTGGGCCGTAAACCAGGCAGGTAAATTCGAGCAAAAGTATCACATAAGAGCACGACTTTATTCGCCGCCTTTTTCAATGAGTTCCAGTTGGAAAGGTACGACATAAAATCCACTTCAGAGGTTGGAACTATGCAAATATGGCGTTATACCGTTCTACACACAATATGTAAGGCCTCTGTAGAGAGTTAAAGTGCTGCGCTAGGGTACGTAGACGGAGGCTACTATGTGGTCATTGATTGACGCTCTTGTTTGCAGCACTGGAGCCAAGATCAAATTTGGAGGAAAAAACTAGTTCTAGTTCGAACTGTATGTGGCGAAGTATGTCGGCCCACCGTCTCATGAGACTATATTACGTGGTAGTATTCAGAGTAATGACACTTGTATTGCTGCTTGATTGGTGTTAACCAATCGTTTGTTTTTAGCGTAACTGTCTTTCTCAACGCGTTTCTTTACTTATTTTAGATTTATTTATGTTTTGATCTATTGCAATGTTTTATTAATCCCGCTTCATTGCCGCAATGTCATGAACGCTTCTGTGACATTTCAGCATCTTGGAGATGCGTAAGGAGAAAAGCCGAGACGCGGCGAGGTCGCGACGGGGCAAAGAGAACTTCGAATTTTACGAGCTGGCCAAGCTGCTGCCCCTTCCGGCGGCTATCACTTCCCAGCTCGACAAGGCTTCGATTATCCGCCTCACGATCTCGTACCTCAAGCTGCGAGACTTCTCGCATCACGCCGACCTCCCTTGGGTCTCCTCATTGCATTCGCCCAGCCACACGCACCACGATAAGCTGCACCTTCTTAAATGTAAGTAACACCTTTCTTCTATGGCCGTGTTTGCTTAAGAAAGCTCTTATCCAATGGATAATTATTGGGCATTGAAGAACTGACCTGGTACCTATTATAACCGACCGAACAATTATGACAACAATAATCAGGATAATTTTTATTCATACGACAAAGTGATGATTCTCTAATGAGTAAACTTAAGTAAGAGAGCTTTTATAGTTGAATCTAGCAGAACTATTGCACTAGAGAAACTTAGAAGTAAACGTTATAGACCTGGCTGTTTCCAACCGGGAAAGATCAAGTCAATATTATTTAAGGTCGAATAAGTAAGAAGAGTAAAAACACATTGGTATTGACAAAGATTGATACTTCGGCCCTACACGCAATCCTTTCGGAATATATTGCTCTCATCGTACAGTAGCTAAAACCTGCCTTCAGAGTAAAAAATCAAAATTCCTTAAACAAATAAAAAGGTACTAGGTACCAATAAGCTTGAATAGATAGAGAGTGAGGAGGTCGTCAAGGTCTATCGCTAGAACTCAGCGAATAGCAGCGGACTGTGCATACCCAACGGGCCAACTGTTACCTATAATACACATACCTTTCCTAGGTGCTTCTTTGCTTTAGTTCGTGCATTTGAAACACGCGCTGTTGCGGTCTCTTCTCGTCCTTTTTCGTGTCGCTGGTCTTGATCGCGTTGTTGTATTCTTTTGGGGGAGGCCCTCGTCTACTGCGTCCTGTTCCTGTTTTTGACTTCGCCCTACCAATCGCCGTTAGGCAATCTCAGGCCCTTCCCGGGACCGCTTCTCGTTGATCCACGAATTAGGATAACACCATCTACCTCTTCAGGCTTCATCGGATCACACCGCTCTATATACATACACATCTTCGGATACACACGTGGCCTTCATCTCCATCCACCCCCGCAGCTGGGGTGTCGATAGTTGCACTTTTCTGCCCCTCGTTGCTCCCGGCCAAGCTTTACTTTTGAACCTTTAAGCCATCTCCTCACGCACAGGATTGCGCTTCTTAAGACCCGCTCTGCTTCGCCAGCTGCCCAAAGTCATCCATAAGATCAATTTTAGAAACATACAAGATGTCAATGTTCACTTGAATTTATTTACAATTGCTTACTTAAGATACTTGTGAACTCATTGCACATGAATCGTATACTGGCTAGATAAGATGTTCAGCGGTAATAGTTCAGCGGAACGTTTCAACGACAAAAATTACAGTATCGTGTTTATCCACATTCGTTAATAATTGCCGCCTAATTAACAAGCAACTTTCCCCGTACTATACAGTATGGAGAAGGGCATTTGTTATTTCTTAGCATCCTATAATATGTGAACGCAATCGTTGAAGCGAGATGACTGTTATTCCCGTCCGAATTCGATTTCATTGTGGGGGCTTTGCTCCCGTGCGTTCTTTCGCTTGTTCGTGGGTGAACGATCGTCCACGAAACATAAACTACCAATCGGTGTCTGCGATCATAATAATGATGCAATACTTCAGATCCCCTTTTCCTCTGTTCATCCTAAAGTGGAAATTAGATCTAAAGGTACTTGCGTGTTTCTGTATAGCTGATTAAAGAAATGAAATAGATGACATAGACAACGATGTTTAAGGCTGCAGCTGGTTTAAGGCGTTGAACTTTTAGTTAAAAGACTAAGAACAGGCGATGGTAGATGGTTTATTCTCGTACTAACGGGCCAAAATAATGGGCTAAAGTAATCAACAACGCTGTTTACATGCTGGTCTACGATAAGATTATGTCATCACAGATAAATAAAAAGATAGACGGACAACGTCTGGCCAAGTTTAATGGTTCCCAAGAGCAGATAGATGTCTATGGGCCAAGCAGCCTCTATCGTCATTGCTTATACTTCAAATCCAGATTCTTTTGAGCTGGAATTGCACTAATACCCCCCTTGTGCGATTCTCTTCACGCCCACACGGCAGTAAAGCCATTATATCGCTTGGCCAACATTACTGTTACAGCTGCAGTAGCAGCATAAACCCTTAGTAACCAACCTCGGCCGCAACAACAACAACAACAACGGATTACTATTTACATTTGCCGATTACGGCGGTTGTCCCGCTGTTACTGCGATGGTAATTTACACGCGTGCACGCGGACTCTCTGTCTTGAGCAATGGCCGTCCAGAACCAAAATACATTCATGTAGACATACACACACACGCACGCACGCACGCACGCACGCACGCAGACGCTGATACACACGGGGTTAGTGCTGCACACGTTAGAGAAAAGCCATCGATGGATGTTGTTGAGGTGGAGTGCGGGCGGTTTCCCAGGATGAGGAAAATAGAAGGTGGGGAATGGATGGATAGTCATTGCGTAGCATAGTCGCATACCGACTGCTACAATGAGGATCGTAGCAGAGTAGCGAACGTTGCAATGGCCGACGGATGCTGTAGCAACGAAGACGCGAATGAATGTGATTCGTTCATCGGAACCGACCACCATATCGAAGCCGACAACAGCCAAAAGGGAGAAAGAGACGACTGGCAAAGCAGCAATAACCTTCCAATAAACAATCATCTAACCAACGGCAAACGCCCAAGTACCAGCAGCAGCCGCAGCAGTTTTGGTAGTCGCTATAGGCGCCTGCCAGTGCGACCTATGACGACAGCAGCAGAAGTAACAGAACAGACCTTATCAGGCCATAGCAATACGTAAGCAATAGGCGGTACCCAATCACCAAAGCGGCCTTTCTACCAATCAAAGCTTTAGAGGCAGTTAATGACCAAGAGGGGCGGAAGATGATGCTTTTGGAGGGGCAAGGTGTTAGCGTACGGACCGATTCATGATTATAATCACCGATGAATGAATACTCCCGACACCCCGAGAAGCAAGCACACTAAAAATCACAGAAGACGAAAGTAGGACTAACTTGGCAATTACAAAGTGACAACTACAATTTCCGCTTTGCTATAATATCGTAACTTAACTTGATATGATTGTTTTACTATGTAAAACTTTTTCGTATGCAATTGTTTTTGCTTTTACCTTAATACTTAAGCGGTTTCAGGTAGTCATTCCAATTTCCCTCATTGTCCAGGTCCATAAATGAATGAGACACGTTCTAACAATCACAAGTAGGAAAGCCTACTACAGATGAAAATATCCCTTTTGGCCATTTTGTAAGGAAGTCGGATGTCGGTGTCCACTCTATTCGTGCATAGGAGCAACCCTCAACGGGCATGTTCACCTAATGATTGAAATCGTCATTGATAAAGACGAGGCATACCCCATTGGCCTCGGTAGTGGTAAGACGGGCAAGAGTTTCCCTCCCACACCTTAAATCCAAATTGGACTTCCAGGAACTGACTTCGGTCCATCTCTTGAGCTTAGTCGTTGATCTAGATTCTGTCTTGTTCCACGAATTCATGTACAAAGGTAACAGGGAATGGGGACTCCGCTACATCTTCTTGTAGGACACTACCATTGTGATACCTTTCAGTCTGTCGTTTATTACATTTAAGCTAGGCCACGAGCCACAAACCAATTTTTCCGTATCACTTAGGAAAGGTCTATTATTTCCTACCCTATGTGTTGACCACTGGCAGATAAAAATAACTATGATACTGATTTTAAGATTAATAATGCGTGGCAATATAGTGTGCACCGACAAGAAACTTAAGTCTTAATCTTGTACGCTATACCGCTACGTTACCTTCATAGGTCGCTCTTGAAATAGAACAAAAAATGATGTAAAACACAGGGCTCTCCTATGGTACTCGAGTGCCCTAAAAATACATATCTATAATAAAAATACTTTACAAAACAATAACGAAAGCAATGTAACGTGTGTTTCAAGTAAAAACAAACTATGGGTAAGAACCATTAGAGCGCTTGTCAGTTCCCATATTGAGATCTCGGGAATGCGACGAAGGGGCAAACTTGGGCTCCGTTGGCCGAAACAGATCGTCAAGTTTATCTAGAAGTTCCTCAATATAGGCCAAAGATCAGACTTACCCAAATGCCTAGGGTAAAATAGCTTAGAAATTCCTGATAAAAGAGCGTATATACATCTTATAACGTGTTGAAGATGAAGCGTTATAATGATATGTAACCTCATAAACTGTATTTTGTTGCAGCTGGGCAGCTTACTTTTGAGTGTTCATTTATAGATTTAGACAGGTCCTAGCGCAAATAATACTTATCCTTCCCTACAAAAAATTGGAGAAAATTTCGGTGGGTTGTTTGTCGTAACGAGTATACGTTTATCTGTTACTCTTGATACAAGACAAAAAAAACTGTCATTTAACTATTATGCAATCTTTATGCACTGAGCCCAACCCTACTGAAATCATAAATTTCTTGGATCATACCAAACTGAGAATGTACCGCATCGCGAATGACAATACGGATACAGAAAGTGCAGGTTCCAGCACGTTACGAAAAAAATGAATAAAATGTACAGCGCAAATCGTTCTAAAATTAATTGATCAGAACTTAATAAAAAACTTTGACATGGGTGTATAGATGTAACGGTACTGTTCACGAAGACCACGAAGGAGTACGTCGTATCCCATAGAAGTTAGGCAAATGTTCCTTGAGGACAATAAAGCCAAGAGCTTCCTCGGTGTGGAGGACTGTCTAGTGCACTCAATAATGAAGTAGCAGACCGTCTTTGATTTCCTCCGACGAGAAGTTTTGCATCTTTGACACAACAATCAGTGATCGCTAGCTCATCATCCAGAGGATGTGCCAATCGTAGACAGAAGCAAATTTCCGTTTACACTGGGACAGATGTAGTTTTTAGCGAAAAGACGTCGCTTTTGCTAAACTTGTTTAAAGTAGGTGAACTTGTCAATAAAGAAGTTCAACTGCACGTTCTGTACGCGACAGCCGTGGATAGCTGCGGTGTTTGAGGGAAGACCATACCTCTACTAAGAGGATAGTCTACCTAGTGCAAAGCTAGTTGCTTGAGAATACCAGCATGACCTGGAATGGCGGCCAAGCAGCCCAGATTTAGACCGACCTTCTGG